GGTCTTAGCAAAGATCAATTTTTTTTCCATAAACCACAAAATGCAGTATACTTGAAATGCAAAAGCAACATGCATCAGCACAAAGGGCCAACACAAACATCATTCTCCTTTGGCATTTTTTTTCCCCAGCAATGTAGCTATAACCATTTTGAGCTCGGCATTTTGGGTCGAAGAGCCTTTAGCTTCAATGACTTCTTTGAATCTTTGGCTTTAGTAATGCTTCTTACTTGCTCTTCTAACAAAAGTTTGTCCAACCTTACCTTCAAATAACATGCTTCATCACCGATCTGAAGGTTTCAAAATAAAAAGAAGAGGAAGAAGATGAATTAGGATCACAATCACGCATGCTTAAATTAAAATATGGTGAATTCCCAAAAGAATTAAAACTGAATGTTCAGGGCACGTACCTTTCACACACCATACCCATGGTAACATTTACATGGATTCGTTTTTGGGTTTGAAGTTAGAAGTTGGGCGAGCATAACATGGTAACATACACGCTTGGGTCCATCAAAGCGTGCATTGCTCTGTTCAGGTTGAATACTTTGCAAAGCATTCAAGTAATTTGCTGTAGCTTTGGCTGTACAGATTCAAATGTCACAACATCCCCATTCAACGACCATGTGCTTTGTCACAGTTGTTGCTGGATATTTGTGAACTCCACCTGCTCATGAAGGGTTTTTGGGATAGTAACTGAGAAGAGTAGTTATGTTCGATTCCTTGTACAAAAAGCTTTCACTTTTTGCATCCGAGCCCTTTAACTAGACAAGGAATTATAGAATATATAATTTCCTCTTGGAAGACCGATCAGCATTGAAGAAAACACACTTCAATGAAACCGTTCATGATGACTCAACAACTTTGCAACTATAAAACAAGGTTGCTAATCCAATCGAATACATATCTAAGGCAAAACTACGACCTCTTAACTTATATTCTTAACCATTTGTGGAACATTCCTAACCAAGCATACTTCTGAAATGGCGCACAACCACAACAAAAATTGTGCTATCTCTCAAAGTAGGTTTTTTTTTTTAAAGGTGATTGGACCAGGGAAGTTGAAAAAAAAAAAACTACGTCGAGGAACTAGTCGAACAAGCTCTAGCGGGTCGTTTCAAGGTGGGCAGTCCAACCACCATGCCATCCTATGTGCAATGTGTGTCGTGAGCGAACAGTTTCTGACAGCAATGTAATCATTCTTCTCATTGTGGAATTTTAAGTATATCCCTCCAACAATATTGTCAATAGAAACAAACGAGAACCTACCGTAGGAAGGAGCAAAGGACGCGAATTGGTTCCAGTTCCACAAAAACATAGTTCATTCTGTTTTTCTCCAATGGTAAAACATGAGGTAGACAAACAAAACAAAATCTTCTGTACTTGACGCAAGAGCAGCCTTGTTGAAACTCTTGTCAGCACCACATGCACGTTTCACTAATATATGTTGTGGCTTCAAAAAAATTTATTGGCTGAAAAAACAAAAAATAAACACATAATGCAAATGTTTTGTAATAAACACAACAATAAACCAGTAGAGTAGAAAATGATAACAAACATATATCAGAAGTAAATAACAAACAAAACCAAAATGAGTAAGAAAAAAAGACTTATGCTATTCAACTGCTTCTCAGCTTCATGTTATTCCAATTATATAAATGTTGCAGAGATCCTATTATAGAGGACAAGTTCATTCACAACCTTGAGGCAGTATGATGATTATGATAGTTTTCCAAGCTTAAGTCCGCATTTAATCAGACTTTCAAGAATTTCTAGATCCTTTACACCATGTGTCAACCACCGAAAACCTCAAGACAAATGCAAGGGAGAGGCCCCAGCTCAGATCGTCAAACCACCACAGCCGGTTCCACTAGCCTGCGCCACATGCGGACGTCCCCACCGAGGAGAGTGCTTAGCTGGACAGAACATTTGCTACTACCACAGGCCCGGCCATACAACCCGTACCTGCCTAGATCGTGCTCAGAACCTGCAGGGACAGCACCAGTCGGCCCCGAACCAGTAGAGAGGAGTGCAGTTTTAGTTAGTTGCATTCGTCGCATATCTGTGATCATGACTTAGTTCCTATGAACTCTTTTGATTTCCTTCTTTGCGTGCTTTGAGCCTCCTCTGAAGTTGAAGTTTAAGACCCAAAAATGTGGGATGTTTTTCTATCAGTTTTCTGATTAGAATTACTATTGCAATGTTTGAAATGTTTTAATGTTGCATGACCAAGAAATAAGTTGTTTAGCAGTTGTATAAGCTAAGTACGCGAATGCTACACACAAATAGAGAGAAGGTTTGCGGTCAAGAGTGGACCGACATACAATCGGGAAGAGACCCGAGTATTTTAGCCAGGATTGAATTTAAGTTTCCAGTTGAGAATAGACTCTAGATGCTATCCTGAACTAAATTCAGTTGTGTCTATGTTGTACCGATTTTTCAGTGTATAAAAGTCACTATTTCGAGTGACCATGGCGGCTTGAAATAAGAGTCACTAAGTCGAGTATACCATGGAGGCTTGAAGCTGGGCCGGGACGAACATAGTTCTCCATACCAGATGACT